ATGTATTTGACGCATGAGACAATCAATAGTGGAGCAATGGCACGAGTGTTGAAGTGGCCGTGCGTTCACACATGTGCTTTTATGCGGATGTGATAGCAATGTGCACTTCTGCAATATCACCCTCATCTCATCTCTCGTCTTGCGTGCGCGCGCGTACTTTGATGAGGACGACCAGCTCCTCCAGCGTTGACACGGCCTGTATGATGTGGCGATGGCGTGACAACAGTTGCATCGCACGTCACGTTCTGGGCAAACATGTAAACACGCACGCACACACACACACACACACACACACACACACACACACACACACACACACACACACACACACACACACACACACACACGCACGCACGCACGCACGCACGCACACACACGTGTATACACACATATGCACACACATGCACACACAGAAACACGAGCACAAAGGCTGGGCAGCGCACCTTGGCGGAGGCGAGCAGCTCGATGATCGTCTCTCCCAGCACAACAATCTTGCGGACCTTCAACCATTACACGCACACACACACACACAATGTATTGATTGTGAGAAGAGAGAGAGAGAGAGAGAGAGAGAGCTCGGGGCAATAGTACGCGCGCGCACATGCAGCCCACATCGGCGTGTTGCGTGCATGCAAAGAAGAACAAGGCGTTGCCACGTGCGACAGCGCAATGCGCTTCGTGGCGCGCACCTCATACGCGTCGAATGTCATGAGGACGTTGGTGGTGCCATCCAGGAGACCCCGCGCAGCCTGCACGAGAAGCGAGCGGCTGGACGCAGCGAGTGGATCCAGCTTGAGCTCAATGGCCGCGTCCATAAACAGTTTCGCTGCAGCTTGGATCTGTGCACGTGGTGGGTTGTATGCGTATGCGTGCGTCGCACACGTGCACGTGTGTCGTGTGGGAAGTTGGTTGGTGGTGTTGTGGTGGTGATCGTATGACTGTGGTGAGCTGATAGACGCACCGTGATGGCCGTCCACGCAAGCAAGCGTGCAGCGAGCGGCAGCGAGTTGATGCGACAAGGCGGTAGTACAGTCACGATCTGCGTTCAACAAGGTGCTCCTGCCTCGAGGGATGCACGTGCTCATGGGCGCCATGTTCTGTGCGTACCTGCTCACAGGCGACCGGCATGCGGGACTTGAGGAGATCGTCACCCTGACCCATGGCTTGCTGGCCAACCTGGACCAGGTTCTGCACAGCTACGCCAACCGACTCTGCAGCTGCATTGACATCACAATGCATCATTGGGGTGGAAGAGAGATGGAGGTGAGAGGAAGAAGTAAATTGACAGCCAAACTTGCACGCAATACGCAGCTACACGCACATCATCTCGAGCTCGTTCAGGAGCTCTGGCAACGTTCATGCACACACACACACACACGCGCGCACATACATGCACATACATGCACATGCACATGCACACATACAATCGTACATCTCACCACACACGTGCACATTTTCGCACACCTTGTGTCAGGTCTGGGATGCCTTTGCCTTCGTGGCGAGCCCTCTCGTCGAGGATCATGAGCTCGCCAACCTGATCAGCGATGGGCAGCAACACAGCCTCGATGCTCTTTGTGTGCACCCGCACGTCTGGGCGCGTCGCAGCAGTACCAGCATCCATGCCTGATTGCTGTTGCTGGTGCTGCTGTTGCTCTTCGACTGGAACACCCGAGTCCATGTTGTCTGTATGTGTCTGTCTGTGTGTCTGTGTGTCTGTGTGTGTGTGTCTGTGTGTGTGTGTGTACACAGATGCGAGTCTTTCCTTGGTTGTGTGTATCCTCTTCTCTTGCCGCTTTGTTTGTTGATCTGGGTGTCTTGTCTCTGCCCTGTCGTGTTCTGCGCTGCGCTGCTCGTTCAGCTCGTTGCATGCACCGCACCCACTTCGCACTCGCCGCAACTGTTGGTCGCTGGCTGGCTGGCTGGCTGGCTGGCTGGCTGCTGGAAACAAAGCCAAGCCCAAGCCCAGCCCAAGCTAGCGCTCGCCTGATGTCAGTTTTTCTTCGCCTTCGCTCCTCTCGTTTTGTTTGGTTTTCCGTTGTGCTGTCAAGTTTGACAGCTCGAGTTGCGTGTGGTCCTTCGGTGCTGCGATGTGCCTCGACACGCCCAACAAGGGGGCAAGATGGCGAGCCAGCCCGCCAGCGCTTGCTTCTTGCTTGTTGTGTTCTTGTTGTTGTTGTTGTTGTCGTGGTGCGTCGCAGCAACCACTGATTGCTGTTGTGCGCAGCAGAACTGCGCGCGAGCACAAACAAACCAACCAACCAACCATCAACATTGCTGCACGAGCACAGTGCCACCTTCCCCCCCCCCACGAGCTTCCCAGCTCGTGTGCGTGTGCGTGCGACTGTTGAGCAAGAGGTGCGTGTTGTTGGTTGCTGCTGTTGTTGTTGTGCGTGTGTGCCTGTACGTGAATGCGTCGACGGTTGTGGGCTGCGTTCGTGTTCTCTACGACTTGCTCGTTTGTTGTCCTGTGTTTGTGTTGTTTGCGTTTGTGCCTTGCTCGATGGGTGCGTTGCATTTATGCATTCGTGTAAGCGTGCCTCGCCTCCCTTCCCCCCCCCCCACCACACACAGGGTCAATGGCGCTCATCACGGATGCTGCAGTGGCTGATCCGCGACTGTGGAGCGTCGAACATGTGCATGCCTGGATTCTGCACGACCTTCAGCTGCCTCGAGTCGCGCACAAGTTTCGCCTCGCCCGCGTCGCTGGTGTTGACCTTCTCAACCTCCAGTCCATCGACGCCATCCACCGCCAGCACAACATCTCCGTCAGTCTTGCGTGTTGTCTCTGTGTGTGTGTGTGTGTGTGTGTGTGTGTGTGTGTGTGTGTGTGTGTGTGTGTTGTCTGTGTGAGTGTTGTGTCTGTGTGAGTGTTGTGTCTGTGTGTCGGTGTGCGTGCGTGTGTGCGTGTTGTCTGTGTGTCTAAATCCGTCTGTGCTTTCGCGTGCCCGTATATTGCTGTGTGTCTGCGCGCCTGTACATGTACATCGTACCCTCACCGCTTCATCGCCACCGCGTCGCCACCGCTTCCCCTCACATTCCCTCAACCTTGGCTCCGTGCGCAGTCTCGCCAGGAGCAGTGGGTGCTGTTGCGAGGCATCCAGCGCCTGTTCAACGACAATGCGTCAAGGCTGTCGTCCACACCAGCGTCAACACCAAACCCAGACGACGACGAGGAACACGAAGATCACAATGTCGCAGGCAACGTGCGTGACTCCCACGCCCGCATCCAACGCGCACCCACCGGAAGGCGGCCACGACAACAACAACAACAACAACAACAACAACAACAACAACAACAACAACAACAACAACAACAACAACAACAACAACAACGCCAGCTTAGCCTTCCGCGAAGCATCGATGCGCCGACGCGAGCATGCTCGTTCTTCTGCCCGCTCATGTCCTCCCAGGACGCGCGCGCACACCTCCTCCACGCCCACTCCGTGCACACGCGCACCCGACCACAGTCCCCGCCTCCCACCAACTTTGTGCTGCACAGCTTGCAACGCACACAGGGCCACGGCAACCAGCCAACGTGGCAGCTGCACATGACAATGCGCCCAGAGGACCACGAGCCCCACGACCACATCCCAGCGTGTGGCAGCGACACCACCACCTCCGCCGCCGCCACAACCACGACCACGACGACAGCGCCAACAGACAACTCCGAAGAAAGCACAGGCAGCAGCGGTGAGGACAGTGGCAGTGCAGATGATAGCCGCACGAGCAGCGAGGGCAGCAGCAACAGCAGCAGCTACAGCAACAGTCCACAGGTTGGCGGTGTGGCCAGGCGAACAGGGAGAAGGCATCAAGGTCACGTCACAGACACAAGCGACGAAGACAACGAAGATGAAGTCAAACACCACGATGACAGCGTGCTGGCAACACACGATGACGACGAGGTGGAGCTCGTGCACAAGACGATTGTGCTGACAGACGAAGCGGCCACGGTGGGCGACCTTCGCTTCCCCTGCGTAAGCCATCTCGTCACTTACTACTGCCTCAACAACCCAGAGGCGCCCTTTGCGCTGACCGCGTCAGCACCATCAGACCTTGCCCTCCTGCCCCACCTTGCCAAGCCGTGGTTTCTCGTCCAACCGAGCGAGCACGACATGATGCGCGTGCTCACGTCCCCACAGGTCCCAATCGGCACATTCTTCGTCTGCCTCTTCCCCGACACGCGCCCGCTTCGCCTCTGCTACAAGACGAGCGCAACCACTGCTGCGGAGTGCACCATCGAGGTCACACCGGCCCTCCTGTACACACTCGGCCGACGACACGGCTGGGACCAGCCCACCTTCCACACGTGCGTGCTCTGTGCGTGTGTGTGCGTGTGTGTGCGTGCGTGCGTGTGTGTGTGTGTGCGTGCGTGTGTGTGTGTGCGTGTGTGTGTGTGTGTGTGTGTGTGTGTGTGTGTGTGTGCGTGTGTGTGTGCTTGTGTGCATGTGTGTGTGCATGTGTATCACTCCCCCACTCCATCCTGCCGTCTTCGTTTCGCCCATCCACAATCTCACATCTTGTCGACGCCGCTTGTATGTCTGCTCTGCAGGATTGCTGACTTGATCAATCACTACCACGACCCCCATGTCATTGCACAGCCGGGCTGTCCACTCTCTGTTCCCCTCGATGAGGTGTGTGTGTGTGTGTGTGTGTGTGTGTGTGTGTGCGAAGGGGAGCACATGTCACCTCTGAAGTGCTGGTTTTTGTAACCCCGCCCCAGCCGCAGCCGCCTACGCCTACGCTCGCAAGCCCTGACACCACACCTCACACATGCATGCATGCATGCATGTACGTGTGTGCGCAAACTCGTGCTTGTGTCGGTGAACAGGGGCCGGTGTTGCGTTCGGCAGAATCGCATCCGCCATCACCACCGCGTTCCGCTCCCTCCCACCACCAACACCAAGACCACCACCACCACCACCACCATCATCATCATCATCATCATGCGATTGCTGAGGGGCGCACACCGCTGCTCTCCAGCATCAACTCTTCTCTCGCATCCTCCCGCCACAGCAGGTGCACACACACGCACACACACACATAGAACACGCACAGCTGTGAACGAAGCATTGCTCCTACCGTCCTTGCTGTTCTCGCCTTTGCTTTCTTCTTATGCCACCATCGTGTCCTGCTTGTTCCTCCCTGTTTTCAGCGAGCCGAACATCCACCAGCACGTGGAATCCCGCATCGCAGAAGACATTCTCAAGCGTCGCGCGACGGTCAGAGCACACACACACACACACACACAC